AATTTTGATAATTGCAAATATTCATGAAATTACCATTGTTATTATTATCAAATACATTTGCATTATCCTAACAGCAATTATGTTAAGTAATACAATTTTTTTTTTTTTTTTGTTTGACTGACAAAAATTTGCAGCGTTATAAAGTAAAAAAAAAAACTTTTTAATTTTTGATTTTTGAATTTTCTGATAGCAAAATGCAACCAATCTATGAATTAATTTGTAGCATTCTTAATTTTTATTATATTTTTGTATATCTGTTTGCTTCTTTTTAACCTTTTATATTGCTTATTTATTTCAGGTGTTAATTTATTCAGTTTTATTATCGAATTGCTGCATATATTTGCTATCACATTTCCATATTCATTATTTGAAGTGATTGATAATAGTTATGGTAATAAGATATTAAATATGATAGGAATCCTCATAAAGTTGTTGAAAAGAAATTGTTTTTATTTGTGTTAACTATTTGACCAAAAAATCTCTTCCAGGATCCCGTCAGTCTTAAATAAGATATTTTAAATGAACAAATGTACAACCTAAAGTACGACGTTAATCAGGAAGCATTCCCGGAATTGTAAATATGGTAATACGTCAAGTGATAACAGAACCATTCCATATCAAAATCAACGGTAAGTGGCTGCATATCGATCAGGAAACGTTGGCGAAACATCCGGGTGGCATTGCAATGACAGCTTATCGTGACACTGATGCAACTACAGCATTTCACATATTTCATTCCGGCTCTAAACTGGCATATCAAATGATAAAAGAACTGTCAACAAATAACACCAATTATGAACCAACAAAGGAACAGGTCCAATGATTATTAGTTCTTATCGCTTATCAATTTCGATCACAGATTATTGCTGATCGAAACAAATAATCGTAGTAGATCATCGACAAACTGTTATCATCATGGAGCTTTTAATATTTCAAATTAATCAATAATTCAAAATTTTCAAAAAGGAAGTGTCGGAAACATTATCAGTGTTAGATGATGAAGTAATCGGTAGTTGGAATTTGGATGCACAACGTATCGAAACAATTAATCGAAATTTTAATCATTTTAGAGTACAGGTTACTACTTCTTATTCATATTAATAATTATTGAAATTAAATTACAATACACAAATTCTTTGCACCAAAAATTCACCATTTTACTAGAAGAAGGAGAGTAAAGAGGAAAAGAAAGAGAAACATTCTACTTATTCATTTTACCATTTTTTCAATCTTGAAAACAATATTATTCCAAATAACGATTATTTACTGATTATCATTTTTCAAACAAATATTACCTTTTGAAGATTACTTGTACGTGAAAAACTATATAATCTTGAAAACAATATTATTCCATTCAATATTATTATTATCATCGTTATTATTATTATTATTATTATTATTATTATTATTATTATTATTATTATTATTATTATTATTATTATTATTATTATTATTATTATTATTATTATTATTATTATTATTATT